TGATATGAAACTATCCTTCTATGCGTTATTATTCTAAGCTTACAAACATCTTATTTGTTTAAATTGCATAGGTGTTTTATAAAACAACGAGTTACATTTAAAAATATCAAAATATTTTCCATAAAGATGGCTGATTGAGTATTAAATAGTAATTTTAATGTGGCTGAATACTGGCAACAGTTGCTATTGTACTCTGAATTTTTATCAGACAAAGAAATAAGATGACTTTTTTTAATACTGTTTTATTTTATTTTTAATGTAGTTTTTTCGCAAATGTATTAAAGAACTTCGTTTGATACACGTGCGGTGGCATTGACTTACAAATAAATGGACGACGGGTCTAATACAAAAACCACGAAAAAAATGTCCCAAGTCAACCTATTTAAACGTAGTGACATGTAAAGGAATATGAAAAAGCTAAAACGTTGAATTTAAATTGTAATGTCATCGCAGTACTGTCTAATTTTGCTTGCTTCGCTGTCAGTCGAACAAACGAAGACTAAAGCGTGAATGACGCTCTGTATACGATTTTAACGCCCTATAAGTTCGAACACTTTTTAGCGCGGACCCGACGTCCATATAATTGTAAGTCAATGTGCGGTGCGGTCTTTTTTTAGGCACAATCTCCTTTAAGAAGAGTGTGTTCTACTGAGTTCGCCTAACCGGTTTAAAACTGGGTTGGTACTTCCGTAAAGTAAGTAATATATTTATTACCTAAATTTCCCATGAATAAAAAAACGCTGTGGTAACTGTGCTTAGAGGCGGATTCAAATCATGTGCCTATGATATCAGCTTCCTTTAAACTATGATACCGTTTAAGCTTGAAATGAGCAAAAATTAATAGCTCTAAAAAGAATATTATTATGTATCTAAATGTGTAACTGTCTTAAACACCGGTTCCAAGACAGGCTTAAACATAGCATGTTTTCTCTCAAGGATCTCAAGGTCCAATTTGTGTTTAGGATTCCACGTGCCTTCAAAGAATTTAAGATCAGCCTTCTCCCGCTTCATATAAATGTATTTTTTAGCATTATACAAGACGTAATATAAGTAAATTACTGTTTAGAAAAGGCTCTTATCCAATTAAAAAGCGAGCTATTTAGAAAACGCCGATATTGAAACCCCACAGCTGCGAGGCGAGCAGCCCGGGCGGGCTCAGTGAGGACGATTATTGAAAAAGTTCAACTACGAAGAAAGGCCGTGAATTAATGCTGCTGATATCGGTCCCCTGATCCTTGTTCTTAACATTTTTAATTTTATACCTACTACAAACCTACCCACTTAGTTCTTTTAACCATAGAATAAAACTAATTAATTTCATACTAAATACAGCGTAGCTTCAAATAGTGTTTAGTCAAAGCTCCGTGAGAAAAGAGTTCTTCCAGGGAAATATTGCTACTTTACCATTTCTGCCGCCAAGCTGTAATGTAACTGTCGCGTCTAGCCTTCATGGATGGCCCGCGTCCAAACCCCATGGATAACCAGCGGACTAACTGGCCACAAAGACAGACCCACTAGATTGACAAAAATTAGACCAACTTTCTTTTGGACAAAAGACGAGGAGGGCAGTCCTGGTTAAACGAGGGATGACCTACAAATTGTATAAACAGACCGTACAGTAATCATTACTACGTTCCAGTTTTGAAGGGTAGGAGTGATGATGAAACTACGAGCACGTGGGTGACGGTGGCCCCTCAGATCTTTGCGAATTAAAACTTTGAGTGGCACTGCAACTGTAATTACACGCCAACAATTAGTTCGTTGCTTCACTTATTATCATAGACAGAAGTGTAAACTTCCGACCCGCAGATCTCCTCGGAATGGTCTCCCATCTTACATTACCCGCTATAATTGGGCTAATGCTGTCTTGGATCGATTAGTAGGTACTCTCCTGCGGTGAAAACCCATTTCCACCCTAATGTACAGGTACAGTACTAAATGAGCCTAAAACGTAACGCTTTTGAAATTAGCCTAAAGCCGAGCTATTGTATAATGTAGTCTAGAATAAACAGAGGTAAGTAATTCTGTTTGCATCCCCTGATGGATTTCAGCAATGCTTCACGCGGATCGACTTGACAAAATTAATCGTATTGTTTACTCTAGCCTCCAGCCTCCAGGCCTACGCGCCGCCGGGTGATAAGGATTTTCATTTAACTGGAGTGATAGGATTTGTGAGATCATGCCAATCTAAATGGGCAAAATTATTAAATTATTTGAGACCACTTAAACTTTTGTCGTTTATTATTTGCGTATTTTGCGTTTCTTCGATACAAGTTCTTCTTAACACTTGTAGATAAAGCTCTTTAGGACAGATTACGGACGATAAGACGATACAAAATGCAACCTGACTGTTGACTTTGCACTTGCTTTATTTCTCAAATCTTGAAGCGAAAAGCGAACACTAAATAACACAATTTTCGATTTTCACGAATTGAAAATTAAGATCTGCGATATCAATACTGGGGGTCATGATTTATTAATTTAATTACAGCGTAAATATGTGCACATACCTATTTATTTCTAAAGGTTCTGGGTTACTTAATACCAGTATAATAAGATGAGCTGTCATCTATATGATATTTGTATGTTTAGCTGAGTACAAATTATGATGGTGTGAAAGGTTTCGAGAAGTTTCTAGGTATTTTTTTTTAAGTGACACTGTACTGTTACGAGAAGGGAGTGTGAGACAAAGTTGCTTAAGGGGGCGTCCAAGTGGTTATTAAGGTATATTTTTATTTTTATTTATTTATTTTCAGATTACAAAAAACTAACGTACATGATAATACAATAAAAGACTAATGACTAATTATTATTTACACGTATTTTCTGTAACGTGTGACGCAACGTGGGTGTCAGGACAAGCCTGGCTCGGAAACGTCGGTACATGACACATTTCGGCCAAAAGTCCTCCTTCATGAAGGTCGACAGATGTTGAGCTCGTCCTCTCACCACAAATGAATTAAAATTCACCTTGTGGCGAGACTGCTCGACCCTCAGGGCACCATTGGCTTTCACCTGTATGTATTCCACAATATCCGCAGACTTTGTGGAATAATAAAGTCGTGAAACGTATAGCAACGTCGACGTCGTCGGTACCGCTGGACGCATTAGATGATTGGGGCCAGTCGGGGCGGTGCCACTAAGGTTACAGCTAGTGTACTTCTTTTTCTTTTCCACCTTTTTGAAGCCGTCCTCGTCGCATAGGTCTACTCCTCTCGGTGGTACTGACGACACAACTCCAGAGATGAGTTTCCGTTTTTTCTTCTTCCCATTCGTTGGTTGCCTGGGTGGATGATTGTGGAGCAATGAGTTGGGTAGCAGCGGCAACAGCAATATAATCACGTCGAGGGGTCAACGTCCTTACAAGTGACGTCTCCGCTGGGGTGGAAACACGAAGGGCGGGGCACGGGCAAGCGCGCGCGGCGACAGCGGCAACGGGCGGTGACACATCCTTAGGGGCCGACTCAAAACTGCCGATAGATGCGTTTTGACAAGTGTTCACATTGCAGGCCTCAAGTGACCTACTTACAGAAGCTGCACTACTAAGTAACACAACTTGGGCACGTAACTAACTGATGGTGTTATCCGAAGCCTCCAATTTACGCCGCACTTCAACAAGGTTTGCTTTTATGGACGTGATATCCCTCAGCAACCTGGTGACGTCGACATCGTCGAACGTGATAGGGGCCAGCTTGTGCAGCTCCTTCGCTACGAAAGCAGACACGTCGTCTAGGTCGGTCTCCTTAAACAGCGAATGTTGTCCTGGAGACTCTTCGCTCCACCATCCCTCCAGCGAGATGGCATCTGCTCGGCCTTGCTACTCAAATCTCTACTTCTTTGAAGTTTGACTTGCAGATCTGCACAATGCTGAGCTCGTCCATAGTGTCGATGGCGTGTTGGATGAACGCCAGCAGTTCATTGGCTATTGCTATTTTTATTAGGTGCAGTCTATATAGTACAGTTATAAAACTTTTTTTTAAATACACCACGGTAGTACAATAATTCCTTGTTACACAACAACAATAAAATTCCGGGACTTCAGAAGTAGGTAGGACCTATCCGTGCTGTGTATTGGTACCTGGGGGTGTACTCTCATTTACCGTCCGACAATTACTGTCAAATAAGTAACACTCGACTAAATTTAAACAACGTCAAGTATGCGGCTTCATTCGCAATACTATTTAATTAGTTGACATTGTTTCGGACAGGCCCTGGAATCAAATAAATATACTCTGCCTATACCAAGCTCTAGTTATAGTAAGAACCACATCCGCCCGCCTATGCAACGTTGTCTCACACAACCCCTCGCAACATTGTTATTATAATAATTGTAACTTATTTATTTTAAAAAAACCCGACCTCAAAAGTTCGTGAAATTATTATCTGTTTGCCAAGTTTTATTGAAATCGGTTACGGAAAGTGCACCAAACCGGATTCATCCCCTAGTTTGCCACCCTTAGAAATGGAATATTTTCTTAAAATTTAAATATGATCAATACTGAAGTACCCTCTTTCCAACAAAAAAGAATCATCGAAATCGGTTTACATCTGTTGTTGCCGGAGTAATCGCGTTACATACACGTAAAAAAATCGAATTGAGAACCTCCTCCTTTTTTAAGTCGATTAAAAAAACAACTTAACACCTCTTGAATCAGTTAATTAACCACCATAATTTGAACTCAAATTAACACAGCAACATCGTACAGCTGAGAGCTTATTGTACACTTGTTTTTTTTTTAGCAAGAACCCACAATCGTTAACTCACAGCTTATATTCTTCAACAAATTATAAAAGAAAATAATAACAATGAATGAAACGAACGTTCCTACTTACTTATTTACTACACCACCACCTTTGGAACAAAATAGAGTTTTTATGTATTTCATCGACGTAGAACTAGAGTTGAAATGTCATCGAAATGATCGAAATGTCAAAGTCGAGCAGCTGTCATTCTGTCGAACTTTAAAGAAATATTTTCAATTGGTGTTCGATAAAGAACAAGGCCAAACTGTGTTTTAATAAGATAAAAGTTGTTTTGCTCGGTAGTTTATCTATTTACCTACGGCCTCACGTTGCTATATCGATCAAATTAATAGTGGGAAGCAGAAATGACCCTTAGAAAATTTATGTTACGGTAAGTCAATTTTCGCGCATTATTTCTTTACAAACTATAATCTGTTAGGTTAATTTATGCCGTACTTATTCTTAAATGTAATTATTACTGTATTGATAACAATGGTAGAAAAAGTGTGACCGTTCAACAGGTTCCTAATGTTATTAACACGCTTGTTTTAGTCATCAATAGATGACCCATTTTTAAAACTAAATTGATGTTGATGAGTTGTTTAACCAGATGTATTTACGTAGTTTTATGTCTGTTTATTGGGACATTGATGAGTTACTTGTCAGCTGTATTGTTGACTTACATATCCCTCTTTCTCCTAAATTATTAATTTCAAAGTTAGAGGAAATATTAGAAAATAAGTATCTAGAACAGTCTCCCAAAGTGGTCCCTACCCCAGTGGGCGCTAAAGAGTCCTTGGGTAGGGGCCTCGGAAGCAATTGGGGGTATTGATGCCGTCAAGGGACTTCTACCGCATTTGAAAAATAAAATTCCTGAATTATCTCTATAAACTGCACTACATGTATTTTTTTTCTTGTTATTTTTTGTGCTATGTTAATATAAAAAATGTGTTTTTAATTATTTTTTGCAGTGGAGGGCATTTAAATTTTTTTATCTTGACTTAGTGGGCGGAGCCAAAAAGTTTAGGAACTTATTATCTAGAACTTTAATAACATAGATTTTGTTTGCTCTTGTTTTTTGCCTAAACTTCGAGGAGCATAGTCAGAAAATGAAGACTGCCTTACGACAATATTTTTTCCTTTTCGGAATTCGGGAAATCGCTTAACAACATTACATATTTACGTAATTGCGGACAGGCAGGTACACCATATTTATCTTAACTTTGCACCACACAGTGGATTGGATCTGCGATATTGCGGACATTGGATTTTTTTTATGCTTAAAAAAATGCTAATCAAGAGATCCTAATGTCCTAATTAAATATTTTTATATCACATTTTGCCATAAATCTAATAGTTTGGTAGGAAAAAAAGAAAATGTGTATTTATTGTATGGGACCATACCTTTAGTCCCCATTAAGATTTCCTGAATATGCCTCAATGTTGGAAAGACGTAGGTTCAGAATCCCTGTACCCTTAACGAAGTCGGCTTTTGCCCAGAAATTTAGCTCATTTCTCCATCCTTTTATTTACAACAAAATAAGTATCGAATTTCCTTTCCAAAATTACTCAATCAGAGAACTAAACTTAAAAGTGAAAAATTGGCTCAAATCACTTTGCTATGAGGATGTTGAACAAATTCTGAAAGTAGACAAATAGACAGACAAACACACACACATACATACACACACACATACACACGCACTCACACACACACACAAAAAGCACGCACAAGTAATTTAATTGCTTTGTAATTAACATTATTTCATTTCCTATTGTTTAATAAGTAATTCATTGAGTTTTTAGAAATTTTTTCGTCTCTGTTGTCTTTTCGCATATAATATATATTGTATACTTCGTTTCAATCCAACTTGAACAAAATGTAAACTAACAAATCACTGACCATAGACGGTCTACTGATGGCCACTTGTAATGCCAACTACATATCGATTAATTAATTGAATGAATGGATTTGTTAAATTGAGTCTTCTAGCTGGTTTTCCTTACTTAGCCTGTATTTAAAATTTCCGAAATCTTAATTTATTATTAATAAACAACCATAGGCAGGTCATTGATGTATAGATGATAATAACATGATTTTGGACTACCATTTTTCATATACAATTTTGCGATGCTGTTCGGATGAATGTTGTTGGAGACAATGGTGAGATATCAAGTCGAGGTCTTCGAAATATACGTGAATGTGCTTGTTCGATTTATTGAGTGATTGCTTTAGAATTTTAACCAAACACTTTTGTTTGCTGTTTGTTCAGAATAGATTGGAACAGACTTTACAACCTTTCTAGAATTAGTTACCTACGAGACAGGTCAAACCTGCCTATTCACTATTATACGCGTCAGAAATTTTCCCGAATCCCGAACAGGTCCAGAACCTAAAAAATATTGTCGTAAGGCAGTCTCCATTTTCTATGTTCCTGGAAATTTAAGTAAAAAACTCTACCTTTTCCGATCCCTGGTAATAAGTTAAAAAAAGAAAATGTAAAACATTTAGTCTCCTTTTGACAAAATGAAACACATCATTGCAAAATGCAAGACTTAGAAAAAATAACTAGAATTTTTTTATTTTTTGTTTTTTTTTTATTATTTTAATAATAACGCACACACTCAACATAGCCCCGCACTAGGGAAACCCTGTGTCGCGGGTGCTATGGACACACACATAGACAACCACAAATTACACCCAAACTCACGAGAGAAATAAATGTAGGCCATATAAATATTTCTCCCGGCCCGGGAATCGAACCTGGGACCTCTGCGTGGCAGTCCGGCATGGTAACCGTTCGGCCACGGAGGCAGTCAAAAAGAATTGCAACGAATATTAGTTACTATTCAGTTTTCTGTCAACTTGGTACTTGGTGTGATGAGCTGGTGTCTGCAACTCGGCGCTAAGGCGCCTATTTTGCGTGTGGTAGGTGCAGGGTGCCACCCAACCACTCGTGCCACCCAAGCTCCTTCAGGAATCTCAACCTCCTCGGATTGCTGAAGACTTCCGGGAGCGACCTCGGCACTCCAATGTACTTCGCCCTGTAGTTGACCACGCCCGAGCACTGTAGTAGGATGTGCGTAGCCGTTTCGTCCCCTTCCATACACGCTCTGCATAGAGGGCTGTCTGTGATACCTAAATTAAAAAGGAATTTATTGTATGGACCATGACCCTTTATGGCGGCAGTTAGAGTGCGAAGCTCTTTCCTTTTAAGTTTAATTAATTTTCGAGATGGACTGGCGTTGGGCGTTGGTAGTGCTTCCTCGCCTGACTACAACCCATAACGGTTGTCCATGTATTATTATGAGAAGATTTTGTACCTTTGTGTAAAATTGTTCTTGACCTTAGTTTTCGGTCTATGTGGCCTATTTTTTGCTATTCAAGCGAATATTGAATCACTGTTAGGCCAAAAGCTGACCACACAACCAAAAAACCAAAAGGAAGAATTAAAAACAAACAAGGTAAATTATCGTGTAAGTTTTATAAATGCTGAACACACTCATTATTTTTTTAATATGTGCCAGACAAACACACCAATTGCCTGGTCTCAAACTAGGGAATTCCGTGTACTATAATCACACGTGAGACGCTCATCATAATGACAGTAACGAAAAAAAGACGGAAAAAAAACGAAAAGCAAGGGAGAAGGTAGGCTGTAACGAAGAGCAATAGTATAAAACACAGATACAATTCTATAAAACACTCCTTAACTTAAATTACATATGGATGTGCTTATATTCGTATATATATGTATATACACACGCTTTGTACTCTATATATTATATGTATTTAGTTTCAAATCCTTAGGTTATTATTACTATTATTATCAGTATTATTATTATTATAAAATGCATGTGTACTGTGTTTCAAGGAATAAATGATTTCTTTCTTTCTTCTTTCTATACGAATATAAAGTAGACACTTACCCCAAAAGGACCTGTATTAGTAAGATCAGGTGGGGTAAGAGGAACATCAGGGGAAGAGGGACAAAAGTCCATAATACCTAAAATACAGCGTTTAGCACTATAGTCTCTCAGTCGATAAAACAGACAAACAAATTAGTTTTAACGGTTGTAAAGAGATGTCGCTACGATGTTCCAAATTTGAGAGAGAGAGAAAACAAAATTTACAGTGGTGTAATCTGAAAACACGAGAAAAAAAGTGCTGGAGATTATTTTTATACAAAAACAAGTAGAGAAAACGGCAAGTTTTACTTTTTATTAGTTATTTCAGACCAAAAACAACAAATAATATACTTTGAAGAAATTAAGTTAAATTTGTTCAAATAACGTTTTTTGGTAGTAATCGTAAATTTTAGTGACTTCGTCCACATGATATTAATTTCTGACGATGTTACAATAATTACAACACTAGAATTTTATGCGTAAACAATGATACATCTTAAGGTAGTTTTTAAGGCCAGCAGCAAAATTCTGGTAGTACATTTTTTTTCAGTCAGGAATTTTTAGAAAATTTAATATTAGTCGAAAATAAAAAAAATTACATAAGCTCTAAAATAATGACGTAATCTAAGACAAACAAAATAATGGCTCATTGCCGGTTAGCTACGTGGTCACACTACTTCTATACCAAATTTCAATTGATTTTGTGGAATGGTTTACAAATTAGAGTGGTTTTGGTGACTAGAGAAGAATACATTTTGTTAGAAGTATAAATTTATTTTTGGACCAAACATTGCTTTTCTATTATGTCGATATTTAAAAAGTACTTAAGTTACTTAATGTGTTGATTTGTAAAAGAGTGGCTAAAAATGTGCTTTTATTATGCTTTGTACTAAAAAAATATGTTTTGTTATGTGTAGGTGTGTAATTTATCATCACGCGCACGACTTCTTCGTCCCGTCACTTGATCTTATAAAAAAATTTTTCAGATTCGCTTTTTTTAATTTGTCACCCCTGACCCTAACGTGTATGTTCCTCTTGCCCCAAAATTAGTTTTTCACTTGTTTTTTTAATAACTATACGTTATTTCAATGGTTTTAAGATCAAATTCGATTGAAATAGTTTTACTTAGTAATTAACTACGGATATATTTAAAGATACTACATTATATGAAATACGATGGCAGTTCCTCTTACCCTATTTTTTGGGGGAAGAGAAACGTTAGCACAACCTGAAAGTTTTTTGTCAGATACATCGTAAATATTAATTTTAGCGTAATGATTGTTAAAACATGGAAATCTGATAAACCAGGGCAGATTAGAGTATTTCGAAATTCGTATAAGACATTATTTATTCCTCCTATTGGTCATAACATTTGTCTCGAAATAAATTATGTTTCTCTTACCCCACCTGACCTTATATACATATATTGCTGCTTTACATAATTGGAGACCACGTCTTTTCTCTCTGAGAATTTTGATGGGAGTGAAGCAAAGTAAGAATGACAAAGAAAAATAATTAGAGAATAATTCAAAATTTTAAAAGTAAACGCCCAGGAACCAGAGAAAAAGGTTATAAAAAGGTGGGATGACGATGAAAAAGGTTGCATCGCATGCACTATGAGCACTAGAGCAACGGAACACTCAGACCAGAAAAAAAGACAGTAACAATACACAAGTAAATTTCCCAAATTTGTCTTACTGGTATTCGAATCCGGTTCCTCCCGGGACCATCCAGTACCTATAATGTAAACTGTTAGGCTACTGAGGTGGTTGAAAGTAATAAGTTCGAGAAAGTCCTTTTTTGCTTATTTACCTAAAACATTTAATAAAAAAAAGTAACAAATCAAATTAAAACTCCCTACTTATCGTGCAGTTTAGTGATTAGTTATTAAATAAACAATAACAAAATCAACCCAATACTTATTATTTACAAGCCAAATAAGTTTTTGAAAGTTAATCACAGTGAAGTGGAATAAACAATTACTTTCTTAATAAGATGTCATAAATTTAAATTATAAACTTGAAAAATAAATTTGCCTTTTTTATTTAATGAAATTAAAAAAGTAAATTATATACAGGTAAGTATTATAGTTATGTACAGAGGTACAAAATTATATATCATAACTGAAGTCAATAAGTGGTATTTTTGGGGCAATGTTTATACCTGCATTAATCAAGCCGAATAATTTGACTGAGTGTTCATTCATGCTCCTGGCCGAATATTTGATATTAGCTGAATATACTATTTGTTGCAACAGTAAAAATAACATATTGTCCTTCAATATCATACTTTTCTTACCTTTAAAAGAATTACTCCAGAAAAATTATAATTTAACATCTGGGAATATTGATCATTCCCATTATTTCTGTAAGTAATCTGCAAAGCAAACTTCTTCCCATTTGTTATATTAACAGAACAACGACGATTCCCAGTAGTTATGTCGGTCCTGACTGATTATTTTGATAGCTCAGACATCTTAACCCATCGCAGCAGAGGAAAATTTGACTGACTGATTATTTTGATAGCTCAGACATCTTAACCCGTCGCAGCAGAGGAAAATTTGACTGACTGATTATTTTGATAGCTCAGACATCTTAACCCGTCGCAGCAGAGGAAAATTTGACTAATATTGATATTGACTATTTTAAGAATAATTAGTTGTACTTCTTTTTAACACATTACAAACTATTCATGTACATATTGTTGGACATTGGTACAGCTAGGTGGACCACGATCTTAAATCCTCACTATGGAGGAACCAGTGACCTTCAGTGGCATGTATATAGGTACCTATAACAATATTTGAACATGTGTATGTCTATCACACTGTTAGGTAATGGCACTTTTCTGTTTTAGCCAGTTACGTTTAGTTCTAAGTGTTCCAACTAACAGTAGCAGTAGAGCTTCTCGTGAGAGTTTGTCCTGGGAAGCACTAAGTGCCACCTTACCTATTTCTTCCCCCAAACAGTAATGTGAGCATTACTGCGTTCCAGTTTTGAAGGGTAAGGGTGCTGGTGAAATTACAGACTCATGGGACTTGTCAACCTATGTCTCAGGGTAACGGGCGCAGTAGCAATGTCCCTCTGATCATTATGATTTAAATTATACAGATATACGTACAGTAAAGACTTAATATCATGATTTTGTAAGTAAATGAATATTCACTTTTCGTTGATTTTATAAAAAGCCTGATTTTCAAAGTAAAGTTTTAATGTTTGCTTAAATGTAGCCATTTCCAAGTCAGATACACTAACTGCTCAGAGTAGCACTAGAGCTGTTATGGATAGACGCGTCGCTTACCACCAGGCGCACGACGTCTTCGTCCCGTCACTTGGTATTATAAAAAAACAACAATATTGTATTGTTTGTAGAAGAAGAAACAAAGTATTTGGATATTTGTCTCCATTATTTTGCCTAAGTTTTGCAGCGCTCTGAGTATTTTCTTCGTTCTTCAGAATTCCGAAAATTCTGTTCTTACTCATGGTGCTTTTTGCTTAAGAGTGATTTCAGACTTTAAAATTTGCTCATGTTAGTTACCCTGTACAACGCTTTCTTTTAATTTTCTGCTGACTGTGTTGTATTTATTATAAATGTTTTTAGAATGATATAAAAACTAGATATACTAAAATTAAGAACTATGTCACACAAGCTAAACAAACATATTTATACTAGTGCAGTAAAATTGTCATTTGCAATTGCAATACTACAACAACAATAGCGTAGTTATAACAATTGTGAACTCTAATTCCAATACAACATAAAATGGTTAACATGAAAGATCTTTTTTCAAAATGTTACGCTGTTATGGAACCACCGCTGTACATATATAAAATAGAACTAAGGAAATAAAAATAAATAAAATCGTATTCCATTTATTCCAGAACAATAATACTCCAGAACAAATATAGAAATTATGTGCCAGTTGTGTGGAGTAGCACCAGAAGCTATGAAGATGATAATGACAAAAGGGACAGATACAAAAAGTACGGCGGAGCAGCCGCCGCCGCCTTGCTAGGATCCGTGCTCATCGGTACTGCTATTAGAGGTATTCATATTTATTCTTTAGGTCCATTCTCTTATTTTAGTGCAAAGACAAAGGCCAGACCGCGCCTTAGGTAGCAGCGAGAGGTGAAGGCTGAGTATACTTGATATTTTGAAATCATAATTCAAAACTTCTGTTTTATAGGTAAGTTTACATTTTAAATCATCAAAATGATAAACACTATCAGTAACTCGTAAGACAGATTTACCTGGAAGAGGAACACCTGGGTGATTGTTTTTTAATAAATTGATATTAGTCCACAAAATATCAGTTATAATAGTATTTACAAATAGCGTAAGTATAAACAACCTGCAAGTGATATTATTGTAAAATTTTTATAAAAAAAACCCCACCTGAAAAGTTTTCTTATTTGCGTCTTTTTATTAGAATTACATGTATTTGCCAAGTTTTATAGAAATCGGTTAACGAAAAGTGCGCGAAACTGGATTCATCCCCTAGTTTGCCACCCTTAGAGGTGGAATATTTTATTCAAATTTAAATGGGACCAATACTGAGGTACTCTCTTTCTAAAAATAAAAAATCATCATAATCGGTTCAGAAATATCTGAGTAATGAGTATGTTACTTATACACACAAAAAACCATCCTTTCACAGGTCCTCCTTTTTTTTGAAGTCGGTTAAAAAGAGGCGTGCTTATGGATGTTTTTCTTCCAATGAAGCAAAAGTTTAAGAAAACCTCTTGTTTTTATTTTATTGTGTGCACCTGTACCTTAGCTCCCGCCCCGCACCCCCGTCACACTTAAGGCGCAAACCAACTACCGCGGTCACACTTTAGCTACTGCGAGAAATTGAATTACTTCTACAGAGGCCGCCTGTAATTTTATATTGACAAGTATATTCATAAATGTTTACAAGAGTTGAAAAAAATGGACAGAAAAGTTTTTCATTGTACAAAAACTACAACATAAACAACTCTCAAATGAGGTATTTACGCACGTGGCTGATAAATTATTTATCTTGACTTTCAATTTAATTCATATTGTCCTTATTTCATAAGGTTAGCAAATTACACTTGAAATAGTTATTTATTCATTCATAAGGCGCAAGAAGTCAATGAGTAAGAAACTCTGGGCGTTGTTACTCTTTATCACTATTGACATATATTTGTTAAATCTCTATAGATTTGTTGACATTCATTATATACCTAATTATATTAATTATTCCTATAAAAAAACTTTTATCTCACTTATAGTAAGTAACAAATAAATAATAAAATATACCGATCCCTGATGTATTTATTCAACAAAAAAATATTAAACAATCACTGTAGAAAAACAATCTTCCTTATCGTCATAGTAACATAACTCCCATATCACTTAGGTTCAATTTGTCTTGACATCTGAAATTTCCTTGTTTTCCACACGATGCGGTAAAACAGAGAAAATACTTTTCGCAGAAAGAATAAATTAATCCTCAACACCTTTGTCAGGAACATGACTTAAATAATATATAATTATGAATATCTAATAATGGCAACAAGTAGATACAGTGATCCGAATGTAACTGCACATTTTAACCAATGAAAAGTATGGTAATGAGAAATTAAGAAACTCTATAGAGCTTGACTAATACACTATTGTCTTCGGGTTAAATTCATTATGATAAGGACACTAATTTAAATTTAAACCCTTATCTGGGAGGTAAGCTGATTGCCTGAACCGTGAGGCCTTGGCAATAACAATTCATTGTTTCATGTTATGACTGTAACTAAATGATTATGTGTTAGTAGCCTTTTAATAGATTTGCTACCATTGTTTACGAGTCAAGAAATAAATTGTGACCACGAAGTGGTACAAATTAAAGAACAAGAATTATATAAGTGTTTAAATAATGAAACGCCATGATTACTTATTAAAAATTCTACAAAAAAGATGTTTAAAAACTAAGAATAGAATATATACTTACCGCTTTAGTTTAAATAAGTAATTTCTTTTAATAACATCTATTTCAATAGCTTCTGCGTCTAAAAGTACCTAACGATTGTCAGCCTTTACAAAAAGAACCTAACATAATTTGTTTATGTCGGTGCGTACATTTTTTATGCTGTTCTAAATCGTTATTGGTATTAGTTTTTGGTATTAGAATGGAATAGATCGTTCTTTTAAAACCTATTTATTATTTTGTTTACATTTCTTCATTTTAGATTTAGTTTAATTGTTTTAATTTTCTATTTTGGTAAAGAGTTTAAACATTTACAATAAATATATAACTTTACATAAATACATATATGTTCCAGAAACTATGGACAGTAAGAAAGTGAACACAGTGAAAGTACATAAGATCGAAAACTTAAAGCTAGAGGCGGGCGGCATGAGGCCGGATCTTCCCACTTTCAGGGCTGACGAGGTCAGCAAACATGATACCAAGTAAGTAAATAACTTTTATTGACTCGTATTTAGCCCCCAACAGATCGAACATTCAAAATAAACAAAAAAATGCAATTGTCAAATATTTTCAATATGCAATAGTGTATTGTAATACACTTTTTTTAAAGATATAACGCACACAATCACCATAGCTCCGCACTAGGGAAACCCTGTGTCGCGGGTGCCGTGGATCCACTCATAGATAACCAGTAATTACACCCAAACTCACGAGATGTATAAATTTGGGCCATACAAATATTTCTCCCGGCCCGGGAATCAAACCCGGGACCTCTGACAATGCAGCATGGCAAACATGTTGGCCACAGAGGCAGTTATTTAGTATTTATCTTGACCACTTTGATGTTGTCTGTGCAATTATATCATTTATGTTTAAAAGGCAGTATTTAAAAAATAATTAATATGCAGTCACAGATAGAAAAAATATCCTAATAAAGTAAGTTATAAAGGTATGCAATGATTGATTCTTCCATCATGTGAAAGAGAGTGGAAAAAAAGATTGCTTGGTTTCAGTACATCTACTTTTTTCAATTGATTTACTTTTCAACATGGAAAATATTTTCTATTTCTTATTTTGATTTGAGCAATACACAATATTTCAAGTCTCTTGACTTGTGAAGCGCTGACGTGTGAAAATTTGCACTCAGTTAATAATGAAGTCGTTTTTTAACGTCATTGATGTTACTTTCAATGCAAAACAATTCTTAAGACCCATATTAATAAAGCCTCATCAGGGTGCGGTTATTTGCACAGGTTGGTTTTGGTCCTTTTAATATTGGATGGTTTCGATCCGTTTTGTTAGCCAACAAGTAATACCGCGGAGATTTTGTATACATATTTGGTTAGGTAGTATTTATCTGTTTGAATTATATATATTTTTTGTTTTTCTAATGGGGCTGACTTATTCAATAATGACCAAAACCCCGTAATAAATAAACAAAAAAAGAGAAAAAGTGCGGTATAAAAAAAAACAACAATAAAGTACAAATTAATCATCAAAAATTTGACTATGCAGTGTATATTTACCTGAATTTCAGGCAAAAGAGAATATATAATAATTAAAAATAAAAAACATAAACAAAATTGGTCTGCAAAGTACACTACAGTAGCAAAATAATCGCTACACTTTAAAAGTATAGACCAAAATGCAATAATACTTGAATTTCAGAGGGATTTATTATCCACTCTATTTGTATGAAATCTTGAAGGTATTAAGTCTTTAGGTAAACATACTCTGCTTATTCTGATTTCTATCAATGAAATAACCAAAACCTGTCTGTTTTGTCTATGACTCAGCTACAGAAGAGGACTATAAAGAACCTAACCCTCTGATATCATGCCGACAAAATTTCTACAAAAATTTAACATAAATAAAAGCAAAAATTGGTTAACTTGAGATTCCAGCTCGAGACAGAATGACGAGACGAGACATTAGACCACTGACCACTATTTTTGTCTAATTATAATAATAATAACGCACACACTCAACAATTGAATTATTATACGTGTAAAATTATATGAAAGTATGTATTATGAATTACCTCAATCGCATATACTCTCAAACTGTCAAAGTGTAATTTTTGGCTGGGAATTTCGCAAAAATTGTAAATTTATTTTTCTATTTCACGCCACCAAGGCCGTCTAGTGCCTAAGAGATTACATTAAACCGTGACGCTCAGCCTTAAGTAAATTCTGTTTATGAAATGCCACTCGAGTGCACGTTTAGTCATTGATTAAATATATTATGTATCATTTGAGTGATCGCAAACTTTCGGCTTATTAATACATGTTAGTCAGCCTTTAAACTATATTTTCAAGATCACTTGAAATGGTATATTTCAAGATACCGATAAATGTAATCTATTACTGCAGGAAGAGCACTTATGATATTTGTGTAATTTTCAGCCGATACGCACTTAATACCGGTCTTAAGGAACAGTTTATTAATACGGGCCTAAATAAACGACCCTTAAACTTAAGTTGTACGGTATTTCTCCAATAATATCCGATTTTCATCTTAAGGTTTGCAACATATTTGAATTATGTTTATTTCAACATAATATACAATATACTTGCCAGGCCTTACATTATTTTATGACCTACGTTTATTTCTCTCATGAATTTGTGTGTAATTATGCGTTATTATGATTACACAAAATGATGATCTTTTATTTCTATGAGTGAATAACTTCAGGGGTTGCTCTTTTAAATACTTGCCTGCATTTTCACAGCGGTAGTTTCTGGGTAACATACAAACACGGGGTGTATGACATCACAAAATTCCTACCCTCACACCCCGGAGGGGAACAGATATTGAACGCTGGCGGGCTCAGTGTGGAGCCTTTCTGGAACGTCTATGGCAATCACAAGACCGAGGAAGTGTTTGAACTGCTCGAGACATTTAGGATAGGTTAGTAAGTATATTGATAGAGTTATTAGGTTTTCGCAAATTCCTACACCTTAGACCTTAGGGCGCGTTCCCATGATGTCGTAACGTTTTATTTATCGTTAGACGACTATCGAGTCTAGCCTGTTCCTATATCGCGACTATCCGTCGTGACAGTGTTCTGGACGTTTATTTTATCGTTGAACGACTGTCGTGTCTAGCTATTCCCACTAGATCGTGACGACAATTTATCGGTTCACGGCAGCCGTTTTGGCGTTTGCATGACAGAATCGTTTGAAGCTGCGATTATCTGTCGTCACATTATTATCGTGACGTTTTATGCATCGTCTGACGACTGTCGTTCTAGCTCTTCCCACTATCACGACAGTCTGTCGTCGTAATGTCAAAAAAGTCGTGAACGACAGTTAATCGAGTTATATTATATGTGAACAACTTCATTTACAAGCCACGACACTTTAAACTGCATGACTATCTGTTGTCACGACATATTGGGAACGCGCCCTTAAAGAGCCCATAACGTTTGTTTATTTAAAAAAAAATACACGATTTGGATCAGAAATAATCAAAATTACTTAACTTGACATGCAAAATAATACAAATTCGTAAAAGAAATGTCAAATGGGTCAAATGTTCTAGACTATGGAGTACATAGCCCTGATATTCTGACGCTCTTATGTGGCACTTGCAATGACACGACGCAATCGTGAGCATTTATTCATCTCCGTTTTTTATTAAGATTTACTATTAAGTTATGAGCAATGTTTCTATAGTCATCTTCATTGTGGCGTTTTTACGGTCCTGCGTCATTCAGCGCGATCCCGCAAATTTGATGATATCGTTAGACCGTCGAGCTGACCCACTGACCTTTTCGCTTCTCTTAGCCGCCATTCTGTCACTGCTTTGATCTATCGTTCGTCTTCTCATCTAGCCACGTTCTACTAAATTCTAGTCTGCTTCGAATACGTAATTAAGTCTGCTTTGCTAAAATCTATATGGTTAGGTTGAGAAACTTGACCAAGATGACTTTCATCTAAAAGAAAATATTTTTGTTATACCTCGAACGAACACAATGTCTCTATTAGAGACTTTATTAAACCACACCATTATATGAAGCGCGGTGATGGCAGGTAGAGTTTGGGAATAAAGAGATGTGAGAGGTCCTTCAGCTACTGGCCTACCGTTTAACCGGAGTAAGTTCCTGAGGTAGCTGCGCGGTGCGGGAGGAGTGACAGTTTACGTAACAATTATGTCGCGCTGCGCACGGGATAATTTTAACAAGATTTTTCTGACGATATTCAATAACAAGTTGACTGAAAAAAGTGCCCAATGGCTTGTCTATTCATTTCAGTTATCAATGAAATAGTTTTTTTTAAATTATCGTTTGACATAACAACAATTGACTAATACTGTAGGCACCGTTTTCAATCAACTTGTCATTGAATATTGCTAGAAAAATCTTGTCGAAATCGTCCCGTGTGCCGCGCGACATAACTGCTACATAAACTGTCACTCCTCCCGCAACGCGCAGCTAACTCAGGCACCGACTCAGTGGAGCGGTAGGCCTGGAGACAGTAGTGGCCGATGACGAAAGCGACCTACCTCGCAGGCAACTTGCACGACGACGACGTCGTGGACCACTCGGACGAAGAGCTGTGGGCGAAGGAGCCGGCGCGAGACGCCCGGCTGCTCGTGCGCACGCGCCGCCCCTTCAACGCCGAGACGCCGCCGCAGCACCAGATCGCGCACTTCGACACGCCCAAGTAACGTCGGGTCCCGTTGCCGCGGACGGGAGCGACTTTCTCTAACCAAATTCTACTTAGCGCAATGAACTTTACTTCGATTGTTTAACGTACTAACTGAATACAATACGGCAGCCGCCCACCAGTTTCAGCTCCAGTTTTGAAGGGTAAAGAGTGCTGGTCAAATTACAGGCCCATGGCACTTGTCAACTTATGTCTCAGGGTAACGGGCGCAGTATCAGTGCCCCTTAGATCTTTCTATTATAAACGGCGTAGTACCCTCAGGCGCACGACTTGTTCGTCCCGTCATTTGGTATATAGAAAACCCCCGATCACCACAAATTGAGATCTTGTGTAACAAACAAAACAACACACAACGAAAACCCTCGACGATTTGAGTTACACGACAGACGTGACGACCTGAAAGGTCGACCATCTGCGGCGATCGGCTACCACTACGTTCATGGTGTGCTCATGTGGCCCCTTTGTGCACGGCTCTTTACTGATAACAAGACCAAAGTGGAGTTGAAGCAGTTGCTGCCGTAGCCGGAAACGATCGGGAGAAAATATTATTAAAGTTCATTATGCTACAGGTACGAAAATTCGCATTCCATTCCGCGACAATGTTAATTGAGCTTTATTAGTTTCATAAACTTGCATGTTTCATAGTAATCGGGAAGCTGGAGGCGAGTTTAGTTGGCCAGTCAGACATACTCCTATTCAGAAATACTCTTTCCCTAAGCCACGCAAAGCTGATTGGTGGAAAATCGCTAATTTTTTGAATTTTCGAAAACTTATGCAAAATGTAACTCGCCCTAAGGTACTGGAAGAAGTTGCGATCGTTCACGACACATTACGAGTAGAAATAATCGTCGTTTTGAAACGTGAGTTTTAATGGAGTAACTTTAGCCAGGCATCAGTATTATCTCGATTGCTAGAAACCATGCCAAATCAAACGTAACGCAGCTTTGTCGTTCTGCGAAAGGGTAGGAGTCCCAAAACGCAATTTCTTTTGTTTACAGCGAGTTATTTTTCGTGCGACAACACATGCCTGTTCCAGAGTTGGAAGCGTCCTCGCACAAACTACGCATCTCCATCGAGCAAGGCGGTAGGAGCACCAGCCGCGATTTTAGCCTTGAGGACCTGGACAAGTTCCCACAGAGCCAGCTGAGCGCCGCGCTTATGTGCGCCGGCAACAGGAGAAGTGAGATGAACAAGGTCGGTTGTCTCAAACCCGTTTGTCACGACGGGGAGTACGTTCAGCTCTGGCTGCCTTATTTCGAAAATTATTCCTAGGTCTGTCAAGAGGACATGTGTTAAAGGAGGTGAAGCCGGCCAAAGGCGTCGGATGGTCCGGCGGCGCGGTGTCCAACGCGCTGTGGTCGGGGGTGTACCTGCGCGACGTGCTGCTGCACTGCGGCGTCGACGTCGACGACGTCGAAGGAAAGCACGTAATTGTGAGTGCCCTCTTATTTCACTACTTAGCACGTGTCCACATGTCTACGGTCCTATCTTAATATAAATTAATTGTGCGACATTATTTTCTATCACAACAACCTTTAATTGAGTATCAATTTTTCTCATATACCTCTGCTAACTTCATTCTACTTCATAGGACTTCGTTGTCCTAATCGGTCCTAGATCTGATCTCGACCTCTGGATCTTAAATGATCCTCTGATCCCTTTAATGGACCTCCACCTCTAACAATTTAATTATAATAATTCCCTAATGCTAATTCCCTACTCTTGGGTATCATAACGGACTAAATTTAATAATGCTGGTGTTACAAAAGTAATACTAAATCGCGATTTAATTCGTGACAGCTGGAACAGTGCTGTGCGTAGTGCTAATTCCGATGCAATATGTCTTCAAACTGGGTATTTATTGAATGACAGTCACAAACTTACATTGAATCAACTTTCGGGAGTAAAATTGTTTTCCAAGATTATGCCGATTAACTGCAGACATCACAAATAATGTGTAACACAAAAAAGAAAATTCAAAGGCTACAGCTCAGTCGACACGACAATTTATCGATTCACGGCGGCCGCCTTGTCGTTTGCACGACAGAATCGTTTGAAGCTGCGTGCGATTATCAGGGAAGTCAGCGTAGTGAACGAGTAGGAGCTTAAAAGTGATGTTTTCAAGTGTACATTTATTTTACCTATGGAATAAATGATTTTTTGACTTTATCTTTGATTTTGATCTGTTGTTACATTGTTGTCGTGACGTTTTATTTATTATCTGACGACTGGCGTTCTGGCTCTTCTCATTGTCACGAAATTGTTTCTGACGTTATGACGGCTGTCTGTCGTCGTAGTGTCAAAAAAGTCGTGAACGACAGTTAATCGTGTTATAGTATATGTGAACAACTTCATTTAAATGTACAAGCCACGACATTTTAAATTGCACGACTATCTGTCGTTACAATATAATGGGAACGCGCCCTAAGGCAATGTTGACAATTTGAGGAAAATTGTAAATATTGATTTGTTTTGAAGTGTTGCATTTAGCCCAAAGAATAGTTTTTCTTTTTTCAAATCGTTGGAATTAAAAAGTTGGTACTTCAACTGTTAGCACTCGAACTTGTCCCTGTCGAAGCTGTTGAAAACGTCCGAAATCAAGAAATCGAAAGACGTATCTGGAATATTGCAATATAGCCCTTAGAATTTTCAAGAAAAATTATAACGGACTGTGTTACAAAATTATAACCGTGACTTACATGTTGGAGTAATATTTCGGAAAACTATTATTTTCTCGAACTCGTACAAATTTTGATCGATGATCGCCAGTGGGTGTCGCACGCTCTCGGTCGAGTTTTGACGTTTCTTTTAAATGTTCGCAGTTCCAAGGGTCGGACGTAGACGCGACGGGCGCGAACTTCAGCACGTCCATCCCGCTGGCCCAGGCGCTGGCCGCGGACGCGCGCGTGCTGCTGGCCACGCGCATGAACGGGCGCGCGCTGCCGCCCGACCACGGGCGCCCGCTGCGGGCCGTGGTGCCGGGCGCGCCCGCCGTGCGCAGCGTCAAGTGGCTGGGTCCTGGTCTTTCTTCGCCGGCGACGCGGCCGCCGTCCGCTCGTAACCGGCGTCGCCTCTTGCAGAAGCCGTGACGGTGTCGGAGAGGGAGAGCCCGTCGCACTGGCACCAGAAGGACTACCGCTCGTTCAACGCGTCCGTGGACTGGGCGTCGGCGGACTTCGCCGGCGCGCCGCCGGTGTACGGCATGCCCGTGACGTCGGCCGTGTGCGAGCCGCAGAACGGCGCGCGCGCGCCCGTGCGCGGCGGCCGCGTACTCGTGCGAGGTGCGCCCGCGCCGCTCCGCTTTGCTAAACAATCTTTACCTTTTCAAATAGAAAACCACCGTGAGACTCGGACATAGTAACTAAACGGCGGCTAAGTGACGAATGATCAAATAACCGTTTTAAATGGCAAACAATAGAGCACAAAACTCTCTTTTAAAAACAATTGAAATTAGTTAACCTGTTAGACTTATCGGAACTTACCCTAACAATACATAACTGAAGTACCATTAAACAATTTCAATATTCCCAAACTGGGCTATGATTTTTTATGATATCTCAAAAAAATATTTTGTCACTTAGTTTCGCGATCTAGTCAGCGAACGACAGTACAATAACGGATAACTCACGTATTTAAATCGAATTTTTACTCGACATGTTTCGAACCAATTAGTGGTCCTTAATCGTGAGATTTCGCGGCGGTGACTCCATGGAGCCCACGCGCCTAAGCCTTGGCAACCCGATCACTCGCTACGGGCGCGGTTAACCTTTACCTCTTTCGAATGTAGCCACTTTATTATTGACCGTGAGATTTAATATTCCCAATATGTTCATTTATATCATGGACCAATCCTTCAAGGGAACCTGCTAATCGCGATACAAACAAGCGTAGTCGGGTACTTAGTACCTACTAGTACACCAGCTGTCGCGACGAATACCAGATAGCTATTTTTGTAACTAATTTGTTTCACATTTGCGGGCTGCAATTTATCAAAGCTACTCTAATTTCTAGTGATAACAAAGAAGTCAACTAGATGGCGCTTATTGCAACATTTTTATGCATACTGCCAGCTGTTTTATTTTGTTTAAGTTTAGCGCTATCTATCCATGTTAGCAAGCGTTAATTTTTAAATTAGTTTGTAACACACAATGCCATCTATTGATACACATATTTGGTAATGTTCAGAAAATAACTTTAGCTCATGATCAATGAACAATGGCGAACCCCCATTTCCATCAAATTTTTGTTGACGTAATTTGTACGCGTCTGTTTATAAAAAATATGTTAAATTTGTTTTGGGTTTACTATTGTGAGAAGTATGGAATTAAAAATCAAAGTCAAAGATTATTTATTCCATAGGTAAAATAAATTTACACTTGAAAACGTCACATTTAAGCTACTGCTCGTTCACTACGCTGACCTCCCTGAGAAGAACGAGCAAGAAACTCTAGGGATTGCTCTTTTCAAATAAACTTAAATGCTATGGAATACACTTTGAATCAAATTTATAGTTTGAAGTTTTGGCGGTTATGTTTTACATAATTGAATCGGTGTATTATTATATCAAAATAAACTTCAGAAACCTTAAACAAAGTTAATAGAAGCTGAATAATGCCGTACCGAAACTTCAAAGGAAATCATTTTTATAATGATATGGTATAGGCATAGGCATGAAGTTAAGCCATAACAAAAAAATTGTTGATTAATACGTGCCGTGCCCTGGTAACTCAAATTTCTTTTTTATAAAACGTGCCATCTATCCCTGATATCGGGAACTTTTTAGTCACTTTTACAACTTTCTCGTTTAGCATATTTCGAGAAGGAATTACCCGCTTTATTTTTGTAATAAAGTAGTTAATCTCTTATTTGAGTTTATTTTAAGTATGGTTTTATTTCTAGACTTGGAAAAAAGAATTGAACCTAATGAATTTATTTTAGTCATATTTTATGACATTTGAAAACGCTAAAGAATTCTTTGTATTAACTATAATTTCGCCATTGTTTTTTGAATAGTATTTTAAGGGAAAGAACAGACCACTTGTATTTCATATTAAAGAAGAATTAATTGATATCCACTGCCAATTGACATCCAATACGTATAAACTACTTCCAGGCTGTCGATCAGCGCCATCTAGATACAAGACGATTTTGACATTTTTTAGAGTTACGACGGAGATTAGCACAGCCCTCTTGAGTCATTGATATGATTTACATATTCTTACATCTCTCAAATCCTGAAAGGTGTATACATACTACACGTAATTAAATCATACCTATAGGCCTTATTCAAAATGGCGGCGGGCGCGGGTAGGTCTATTGGCTCGGTCCGCCCGGACCTTTCACAGTGCTTGGTCTAGCGTCTGAATGCGATTCGGACGTGCGGATCTTCCCGCTCGTAGCCGCTTCGGCACTGCGGAAGGGAAGACGCCAGGACCCGCGCCTGGGTCTTGAATGAGCCCTTAGACTTAAAGAGATATGCGACAACTGCCATACAATTTAAATTGACTTATTGCATGTAATAAACACGAAACGTAACCACTGCAAAATAGCAGTCAGAACGTGGACGAACCGACGCCCGTGTTGTGCAGGCTACGCCTACTCGGGCGGCGGCGCGAAGGTGGTGCGCGTGGACGTGAGCCCCGACGGGGGCCGCACGTGGCTGGCCGCGAGGCCCACGCACGCCGCGGGGGACTCGCCGGGCCGCCACTACGCCTGGACGCTGTGGGCCTGCGAGGTGCCCGTCCAGCCAGGCCAGGACGAGGTCAGCACCGCCGCGCTAAATGCGTGCCGCCTAATCCAGGACGACTGAATCGCATTTCTTTCAAGTATCTGTGTTTATATGCTCGAAAAAGGTCCGCCCATATTTACGGAGCTGATGATGGCAAACAAATAACGTACACAGATGTACACTCATCTATAGTATTATAGTGACCAAACTTCAACAGAAATAATTTGTATTACCGCCGTGCTGGATATTGATTTCACACGTTTTCAGAGGGTTGTGAACCTTCTTTGACGTGCAAGTTTCGTCACGAAAAGCGCATATTAAATTTAGCATATAAATTCCATGCCCGTATCCCGTAACGCCTTAACTTGTAAACGAAACATTCAAAAGTAGGCAGGTAGTAAGTATAACTTGTGACAGTACACTTGTGAAGACAAACTATACAAAAAAAAGATGACGGCCGCGCTACTATGTTGCAAAGAATACTGTACCGAACAATTTTTGACTTTTCCCCGGCAGATGGAGGTGTGGGTAAAGGCGACTGACAGCAACATGAACACGCAGCCCGAGCGGTTCGCGCACATCTGGAACATCCGCGGGATACTCGGCAACGCCTACCACAAAGTCACGTTTAAGCTACAACATTGACTCGAGCCCCACGCAACTGGAAAATCATGACGCCTAAGAAATATATTACACTGTCACACGACTCACATTTTTATGACAATGTTATATAAATATATGAAATACTTTATCAAGATCATAGAAATAGTGTCCCTGGTTTCAAAATATAACAATCTAACAATACTGTGGAGAAATTTTACATACTTAAAGCAATGATGTATGTCAAACAAATTGAGCCTATGACTTTTGACACAAACACTTCTTCCATTTCTCCTAAAAAAGAGTATCAGGAAACCACAAACACGATTGTGAAATATGTTAGTCTACTTACGATCATATACATTTTTCGTCTATAAAATACTCACCTGAACAGATATTTTTTTTACAATTTAATAAGTACATTTAAAAAAATGCTTTATACATTGAGTTGTCGTTTGTTATATCTTTAAGTTAAAATTTTTGTATAAAATTATATTATATTTACCACAGAATAAGTATGACAATTAATTATTAAGCTAAATTGCGAACAAAGGCATAATGATTTGTTGTCTATGTTAAAATTTGAACAATTTTTTTCGTTGTGTAATAATATTGTTTCTGAACGGTTTATGCCAAGGATCAATATTAATTTATATTACTGTTAATAAACAACATGTTACTGTCTATTATTTCTTTGTATCTTATTTTTGTCGACTACAGTGGCCCAGCACTGGGCGCTAAATAACCAATTTATTTATTTTTATTTAGTAAAGAACAACCAACTCTAAAAATCGAATATACGTAAATATAAAATTGTGGAATGTTGCAAGCCCTTCTCAGAACATCCAAACCAGAAGAGACGACTAAAATTGGTCCTACCGGGAATCGAACCCAAGACGTCCTTATCCGGCGCCCACAGCGCAAGCCGTTGGGCCACATAGGTCGAGGTCGTAGTAGGCTGCAGTCTATTCGACTGAAGGAGGAACGGCGACAATGAACAGTGGAAGTTCCTGCGCAAACTCCGTAATGTATCTGAACATAAAAAATGTTTTAAAATAGAAAAAATGAAATCTGAAAATAAAATTTTTTATAAAGGATTTTGTAGTGCCCCACAATGAATTACGTTGTTATGGTACTCATAGTTAGTGATGTAAAAGACCTCTGATCTCTTCTCGTTTCAGTTTCTGCTTCCGCAATTTTTATAACGAAAGTAATCGTAAATTTACAATGTTCGCGATACATCGGGCGCTAGTGCGGATTACTTGGCGTGGAGTGCCAACAAACCCTATTAGTAACCAATTTTTGAGTTCTTTATAGTATTTACGCTACCGCATCCGTTTCCGCTTAGATTTACTTTTGACATCTGTTTCCGTTGCATCACTACTCATATTACACAGCAGTAGACGAAGTAATTGGTGTGGTTATTTTATGGTTAATTATATTATCTAATATTTATTATTATTTATCTTTTAATAGTTCTTCTTGTGACCATTAGTGGCGCTTCACAAGTGATATTCATATATTTTTACACATAAAACTATTACATTGTATAATCATTGTAGAGATAAGGCTAATAGAGGTGCAGGTCAGATCCACGCTTCAGATGGACCAAATTCGCCACCCAGTAGTTGGCCTCGAGATAACGATGACGGGACGCTTTAACCGCATGCCAAAATGAATGGTCAAAAACTGTGTAAGGTTCCTTTCCACCGGCGAGGCGAGACGAGAATTGAAATCTCGCCAGCCTATTTCCAACAAAAACTGCCATTAATAATTTGTTATTAACACGATTGGTATTAATAATCATCGTGAGCCCTCGCGAGCTCGCGCTTTGGTTGGGTATAGTTGTGAAGATTCAGTGCTGTTTAGCTCTTCTAGCGATAAACATGCAGGTAAAGTAACATATCCCGTACATATTTTTTTATTATTAAATATATTAAAGGGAAAAGAATTACATGAAGCCATCTTTTTTTTAAATCTCATATCGTACGCACACCACAGTCTCGCGATTGATATTAATAGCCATTGCAAGATCGTGCGTACACTCGCGAGCTGGCGCGAGAAATCGCGTTTCCGTTGCAGAGTATTATACTCTACGTAGGCAGCCAATACGGTTCAATAATTACATTAACAAATATTTCTCGCCCGCACATCCTCATCAATCCAGGGGGTTTACTCCCGTTCTCAGTATGACACCCGTTCAAAACAATTACTGTCAAATATGTAACACTCGACCAAATGGAAAGACGCAGGATGCGAACGAAGCTTCATCGTTGACATTGACGTTGTCTTTGGATTAGTTCCAGTCTTCTATGGAAAGGTTCCAGTACTACTTATTTGACAGTAATTGTTTTGGAAGGAATGTTGAACGAGAACGAGAGTAGATCAATCACAATAGACCATTTCCACCGAAGATGCGCTGCGATTGGAGAGAATTGAAATTTTGCTATACAGATACAGCTATCTTACTACGATATTATTTATTTTTATGTTCCCGATATTTCGGAACGCTTACACGCTCCATGGTCACGGGTTGACTGACCAGCGGTAGATGACAGCTTTAAGAACAGACATATTAAATCTGATCTGAGACCCTTTAAAATTAATAAAAGAAATCATATCGTGATAAGAAACCTGTAATATGGATATCACTTGTCATATAAATTTCAATCCTAGTCTCCTCTGGCCGGTGGAAAAGTACCTTAAGGCCCATACGGCCCTGTGTTCTGCAGTAGGATAATATTAGTCACATTTTTTAAATATCAGTTATACTTAATTTTAAGTTTTTATTGAATTGATATTCAATTATTTTTTGTGAAATTACTCCACTACTTTGTTCACACATTCGAACACACTTGATAAAACTTTCATAGATTTCTCATAGATGGCGCTACGACTAAAAAGTCGTTGAAAAATCAAATACAAAGACACGACAACAAGCACATAGAAAAATTCGTGAGGTCCGCTGGTTCGTTCCGTGGTTTAATTGGTATGGCGTCTGGCACGGTCTGCTAGAAGACGTCGGTTCGAATCCGCCCGCATCGTAGGATTTTTTCTGAGTGTTCAATCTTTGTATTAATAACTATATAAGTTACTTAATTTGACATGAAATACTTATAATAAAAAGGAACACACCTAATATAAAAAACTTATCAAATTACTCTGCTTTTACGGACCATAATATGCAACGACATCTATGTTGATCCTATGTAGATAAATTTATATAAAAAGCAATAGGTAAGCACTTCTAAGATATTCATTTATATATACGTTACTCTGCATCCGTATCCGTGACACTCCACTAGGAAGGTTTGAATTATTTTTTTTTATTTTTTTTTATATATGTACATGACAGGCAAATGACTCCACTCCACCTGATGTTAAGTGGAAAGTGGTATCCAAACGCGAAGGAACCTAGAGCAGCGATGAAACCCTCACTGCACTAGCCACCTCCACCCTGCCTGCCTACAATATGCCTCTTCACGCCTCGTTTGAAGGACCCCATATCATAAGAGAGAGGGAAGGCATGTGCCGGAAGGGAGTTCCATTTGTCAACCGTGCGGCAGAGAAAGGAGCCACCAAACCTTTTAGTACGCGATGGAATGCGGCAGGTAGTGAAACGGTGACTACGAAGGCCAGCACGCGTGCTTCTGAGCAGGAACGGGGAAGGGGGGATGAGGTTGAACAGCTCTTCAGAGCACTCACCATGGTACATGCGGTAAAAGGCGCTAAGCGATGCAACATCTCTACGCAGTTGCAGAGGTTCAAGGCGTGATGAGACCTCTTCGTCGCCTATAATTCGAGTAGCACGACGCTGTAATTTATCCAAGGCATCGAGTAGGTACTTGGCGGAGCCGTCCCATACACATGAATACACACACATTATAAATAAAGTATAATAAGTATAATACTTAGATAATTTAAAAGATTATTTATGTACATTTACTATCTCAAAGTCAACCTGTCAGGTAGCCGTACAAAGCGAGTCTCGGTCAATGTCGGTGGTGGTGGTGGTGGACCGATCAGTCTAATTCGGTGGCGGAGTTTCAGGTACATCGTCGGCGAAAGAATCATGTCAGAGTACCTAGATATCGGAGAGACAGGGACGTATCTTGGTGTATCTAAGCTGGTGCTTTGTCTAAACTTCTTACTGGAAGTTGTTGCCATTGAAGGATTTCTTTCCTTAGATTACATACACAGAGATACAGACACCCCCACACACCACACACACACACACACACACACACACACACACACACACACACACAC